TGAATGGTTCAGGAGAGAGAGGAGAATGATGCTGTACAGAGTGCTGGAACTACAGGAATAAAATCCTTGAGAAGGCTAGAGGAGATGAGATCCAAAGTAGAAAGGAGGGATTGGCCTTTGGTAATGGTAGGGACACTGTGTTCTGCTGTCAGTGATAGAGAAGGCAGAGAGTCTGGTATGTTTAGGTCAGGAGATTTGCTGGTGGGAGGATGAGTGAGTTCCTAGCTGATTGCTTCTATTATCCTAGTGTTTTATGAGACAAGATCATTAACACAGTGAAGGATCGGGGGAAGGAGGGGTTGGCACTTCAGAGGCAGAAGTTGTACTGAAATGCATAATGTAAGAGGTGGGGATTTGGTTTTCATTGATAAGCCTAATTAGTACTCTCTGAAGCCCACTGTCTAGTGCTTTTTAGCCCAAGCAATATTGTTTTGTCAGTACTGTTACAAGATAGCCTTGATGATATGCAGAAATAGTGTATTTTAAAAATTATCCTGTTAGGCTGAATTTAATCAGAAAAGCAAATGGGTCACCTAGCGTAGGTTGGCTATTGTTTTAAATTTCTTGACAATGCCAAATTTACTTAATTAGCATTCTGTTGATATTTTCAATTCCTGATTTAAAGGAAAAGAAGGCTGTCACAGTTAAATGGTATTCCTGAAAGTGTGGTCCGCAAGTTTCCTGGATCAGAATTGCCTGGGGGTGCTTGTTAAAAATGCAGTTTCTTGTTTTTTGTTTTTTGTTTTGGAAACAGTATTGCTCTGCCACCCAGGCTGGAGTACAGTGGCACAATCCTGGCTCACTGCAAACTTACTGCAACCTCTATCTCCTGGGTTCAAGTGATTCTTGTGCCTCAGCCTCCCCAGTAGCTGCGATTACAGGTGTGTGCCACCACACCCAGCTATTAAAATTTTTGTATTTTTAGTGGAGATAGGGTTTCGCCATGTTGGCCAGACTAGTCTAGAGCTCCTGGGCTCAAGGGATTCACTCACCTTGGTTTCCCCAAGTGTTGGGATTACAGGCGTTAGCCACTGCGCCTGGCCAAAAATGCAGTTTCTGATTCCTGTTGTTCTAGAGTAAGGCTCATGAAAATGTTCTATTTGTTTTTTTTGTCTTTGCCACTAGATTGTGAGATCCCTGGAAGTCATTTTTTTTTTTTTTGTAGCCCCAGTACCAGGCATGTAGTAGATGCTCGATAAATGTCAAATAAGTGAACAAATGACACACAGATATCAGATATCCTCATCACATTGTAAAATATTTGTTGAGTTGTAAAAATTACTAAGGGAATACAGGTCCATGGTGAAAATGAACAGTACAGAAGCATATAAAGTAAAAAGTGAAAGTCTGCCTTCACATGCATGCATCCTCCCATTCTTCTGAGGTAATAATTATGAATAATTTGGCAGTTTTTTTTTCTAGAGATTTTTCTGTAGTCATATAAAAGCATACACAATCTTTATGATTTAAGGCCTTGGTTTTAGAGAAAATATCTGGCCAGTCACGGTGGCTCACGCCTGTAATCTCAACACTTTGGGAGGCCGAGACGGATGGATCATCTGAGGTCAGGAGTTTGAGACTAGTCTGGCCAACATGGTGAAACCCCGTCTCTCGTAAAAATACAAAAATGAACCAGATATGGTGGCATGTGCCTGTAATCCCACCTACTCCGGGGGCTGAGGCAAGAGAATCACTAGAACCCAGGAGGTGGAGGTTGGAGTGAGCCGAGATCATGCCACTGCACTCTAGCCTGGGTGACAGAGCGAGACTGTGTCTCAAATAAATAAAATAAAGGAAAGATCTTCTTTGGATCTTTTGTAACTTAAAAAAATTATTTTTTTCTTTGTCAGCCAGGCTGGACTGCAGTAATGCCATCATAGCTCACTGCAGCCTCGAATTCCTGGGCTCAAGGGATCCTCCTGAGTAGCTGGGAGGATCCCACATCCACCTAATTTAAAAATGTTTTTTGTAAAGACAGAGTCTCGCTATCATGCCCATGCTAGTCTTGAACTTCTGCTCTCAAGTGATCCTCCAGCCTTAACCTCCCAAAGTGTTGGGATTACAGGCGTGAGCTACTGTTTCTAGCTTTTTATAGTTTTTTTTTTTTTTTTTTTTTTTTAGACGGAGTTTCACTCTTGTTATCCAGGGTGGAGTGCAATGGCGCGATCTCGGCTCACCGCAACCTCCGCCTCCTGGGTTCAAGCAGTTCTCCTGCCTCAGCCTCCTGAGTAGCTGGGATTACAGGCACACGCCACCATGCCCAGCTGATATTTTGTATTTTTAGTAGAGTCGGGGTTTCACCATGTTGACCTGGATGGTCGCGATCTCTTGACCTCGTGATCCACCGGCCTTGGCCTCCCAAAGTGCTGGGATTACAGGCTTGAGCCACCGCGCCCGGCCGCTTTTTATAGTTTTCGAGGTTTTTTTTTTTTTTTAAATGTGTCTTTAAAGCCTTCCAGTGTTATTTCTTAGTCCTTTCATGATAGGGTTAGGCTCTTCTTCCTTCAATGCATATATTTTTTTTTTTTTTTTTTTTTTTTTTTTTTTTTTTAATGACATGAGGGTGGGTCTTGCTGTATTTCCCAGGCCAGAGTGCAGTGGCTATTCACAGGTGTGATCATGGTGCACTGAGGCCTCCAACTGCTGGGCTGATTCAATCCTCCTATCCCCTGTGTAGCTGGGACTACAGCACACCTGGCTTGCATATATTTCCTTTTTTTTTTTTTTTTTTTTTTGAGACAGAGTCTCGCTCTGTCACCCAGGTTGGAGTGCAGTGGTGAGATCTTGGCTCACTGCAACCCCTCCGCCTCTGGAGTTCAAGCGATTTTCCTGCCTCAACCTCCTAAATAATTTGGACTACAGGCACATTCTACCACATCCAGCTAATTTTTGTATTAGTAGAGGTGGGATTTCACTATGTTGGCCCGGCTGGTCTCAAACTCCTGATCTCAGGTGATCGTTCACCTCAGCTTCCCAAAGTGCTGTGATTACAGGCATGAGCCAGTGCACCCAGCCTCCTTTTTCCTTTTTTTCTCCTGTTCTTAACGTGTCAGCTAGTCTGCAAATATTTTCTTTCTTTTTTTTTTTCTTGAGACAGGGTCTCACTTCCATCATTTGGGTGTGACTGCAATGGTAATGGTGCTATCATGGCTCTCTGCAGCCTCCACCTCTCAGGCTGAAGCAATTCTCCAGCCTCATTTTTGATTTTTTTTTTTTTTTTTTTTTTTGTAAAGACAGTTTCACAGTGTTGCCCAGGCTGGTCTTTAACTTTTGGGCTCAAGTGATTCTCCTGCCTCAGTTTCGCAAAGTGCTGATTGCAAGCGTGAGCCATTGCATTCAGCTGCCTGCGTATATTTTCCTAATAATAGTAACATGAGCCTCGAAATACATTCTAGGAACTTGTACCCCTGGTAGTGAATTTTACTTGGAAAAGATACCAAACAAAATCTGCCTTCCTTCTGACCATGTATTTCTTCCTTAGTGTGCTTTCCTTGGACTACTTTAGCTGTTGGTTACTGTCTCACCTGGAATTTGATATTTTCGCTTAGGGATTTGGGTGGGGCTCTCTGTCATGTAACTTTTTGCATCATGTTTCTGATCCTTTGTTCCTTTGGACTCACCTCTCAAAAAACAGGTGTGTCTGTAACACAAAAGTATGTAAGAAGATGGATGAAGTCTGAGTCAGTTTTTGGTTTATGTAATATATAGTGCTGTTTACTAACAACCAACATCACATATTGACCTATACCTGAGAAATCGTATACACAGCAACAGTTTTCTTTCCTGATTAAAGAAAAAAACTTGAAGTCTGCTACTGAACAAGTCCAACGTACAGTGGTTGAGAAATGCATAGGAATTTTAATCAAGGAGTTGAGCCATCATATATTTTGAAAGATTGGAAAAGTATACCGGCAGTGCAATATCAGCCTCTAGGCCAAATAAAAAGCCCCTAAAGAAGTGGCTAACTTTTTTTTCTTTTTTTTGAGATGCAGTCTTGCTCTGTGGCCAAGGCTGGAGTGCAGTGGCACCATCTTGGTTCACTGCAACCTCTACCTTCCAGATTCAAGTGATGCTCCTGCCTCAGCTTCCAGGGTAGCTGGGATTATAGGCTCACACCACCAGGCCTGGCTAATTTTTGTATTTTTTAGTAGAGATGGGGTTTCGCCTTGTTGGTCAGGCTGGTCTTGAGCTCCTGACCTCAAGTGATCCACCACCTCGGTCTCCCAAAATGCTGGGATTACAGGTGTGAGCCACCGTACCCGGCCTAAGTCTAACTTTTAATATGTAGAACCTGGAATTCCTTATAGTTGTTATGTCCCCCTCCTTTAGCATTTTGATATCCTCTGTGGACTATGTGTCACCACGCCTGGGCTGGAGTTTGGATCTGGCTTACGGGGGAAGTCCAGCAGGCTGCTGTTGTGATTCTAATTTCCTAAGGGTTTAAAGTCTTGAAAACCTTTTTGCATTTTAGGAATTCTGATTGGTTGTTTTCTTCACTTATTTGGGATTTTGATACTTGGTTGCTTACGATGTCAGTAGCCCTTATTTTATAAAGCATCTCTTTTGTTTTTGCAGTTACATTGTTAACGTCCAGTCAAGCAGTGGTGGCACCAGTGGGTCTTGTAAGTAGAGTCCACTCAAAGCAGTAACATTTCAAAGTGCCTTTATAGAGAAGACTCAAATGTGATTTGGGATGTGTAGCCTAAGTTGGTTCGAGGTTCATCACCTCTAGGGCTGTCTTTTTTAGGTTGGTGAAATGAAATTTCCCTACTGTCAGGAGCGAAGGAGGGCCTCTGCTTCTTTTCCAACTTACTTCCTTTCCTCTTTTTTTTTATTTTTGTTTTTGGCTCTGGGTTTTCTTACATTTATTTCCTTTCATGGGAGATGTAAATTTTAATCAGTTCTAATTTATAGACTTTGGTTTTAGGGAGTTAAAGACATAGGCAACCAGATTTTATCATGCTTCAGATGTTTTCTAATGCCTTCTTTCTCTGATTTAGCTGTGGCCAGAGCATCTCCACAGAGACAGGGCAGGTGAGTAGGACAATTAATGACACTTGACTTTTTTTGTTCTTCAAAGGGGAAAGCCCAGTGCTCTGGGTAGGGAAATTTAAGAGTAAACTTTACATGTCCTCTGTGGACACTCTGGTTTTCAGCAGAATCATGATGGCTGTCTGACATTGCAACCAGGTTCAAAACATTGGATTCTTTATTTCTGACCCATTATCTAAGTGGTCAGTTTCTTCTGCAAGGTACCACTGTGAACTGTGCCTTAACATCCAGGTTTTACTAGTGTAATCTCTTACCAGTGTTTACTCCTTTTTGTTTTTGCTTTTATTTTTTTTGTGAGACCGAGTCTTGCTCTGTTGCTCAGGCTAGAGTATAGTGGCCCCATCTTGGCTCACTGCAACCTCAGCCTCCCAGGTTCAAGTGATTCTTCTGCCTCAGCCTCCAGAGTAGCTGGGATTATAGGCACACCCCACCACGCCTGGCTAATTTTTGTATTTTTAATAGAGATGGGATTTCATCATGTTGGTCAGGCTGGTGTTGAACGCCTGATCTCAAGCGATCCAACTGCCTCGGTCTCCCAAAGTGCTGGGATTACAGGCGTGAGCCACAGCACTCAGCCTAATTCTAACTTTTAATATGTCAAACCTGGAATTCCTTCTAGCCATTATGTCCCCTCTTTCAGCATTTTGATACCCTCCGTGGACTATGTGTCACAATAACTAATAACAGGATGACCTATGATATAGCCAGGCACCGCATCGGAGGAGTGGCAGTGACGGTGAAGTGATGCCACCCCAGTGTGACTTCTCTGGGCTGTAGTTTGGATCTGGCTGACAGTGGAAGTCCAGCCGGCTGCTGTCTGGTGAGCTGAAGTGTTCCGAGCAGGAACTGCTTGGCTTCACCTCAGGCAGTGCCGCACAGCTGTCCCGAAGTGCTGGCAAGAGGTAAAGTGGCCTGCCACACAGCAGTGGAGAGTGAGTGCTGAGGCCGCTGGCAGATGAGGCAGAGAAGCAAGAGGCCCCAGCTTCATGGTTCACTTCAGGGAGCAGTTGTAGCTTTGAAACCATCCTTTGTTGGTTCCCCATGAAGCTGAGTTGAATACTTGTCCATTTATCTAGATAGCAATCCCAAACATTAGGCTGTCTCCAAGAAGTGGGACCTCCTTGCCCTTTGCCCTTTTGCCCTTTGAATTTTTAGCTGCAATCACTTCATCCTCAAGTCCTTTCTCCTGTGGCCCCTTCCCTAAGACCCACTTTCATACCTTTGATTTTTATTTTATGTTTTTAGAAATAAGGTCTTGCTGTGTTGCCCACACTGCAGTGCAGTGGCACCATCATAGCTCATAGGAACCTTGAATTCTGGGCTCAAGCGATCCTCCCCACTCAGTCTCCCGAGTTGGCGGGATTGCAGGCGTGAGCCTTTCATACTTTAAATAGAAATAAATTACTTGGCAGAAAGCAGGCTTCTCACTGATAGCTAATGGTACTCAGCTAACATTCTGTCCTTGATTGAGTAGTAAAGACTAAGCAGCTCATTGCTTCTAATTTTTGTTCACTTCTGCTGTTGTGATTCTAATTTCCTAAGGGTTTAAAGTCTTGAAAACCCTTTTGCATTTTAGGAATTCTGATTGGTTGTTTTCCTCACTTATTTGGGATTTTGCTATTTGGTTGCTTAGGTGTCAATAGCCCTCGTTTTATAAAGTATCTGTTTCGTTTTTGCAGTCGCATCCTGAATGTCCTGTCAAGAACTGGTAACACCAGTGGGTCTTGTAAGTAGAGTCCACTCTAAGCAGTAACATTTCAAAGTGCCTTTGTAGAGAAGACTCAAATGTGATTTGGGATGTCTAGCCTTAGTTAGTTCGAGGTTCATCACCTCTAGGGCTGTCTTTTTTAGGTTGGTGAAATGAAATTTCCCTACTGTCAGGAGCGAAGGAGGGCCTCTGCTTCTTTTCCAACTTACTTCCTTTCCTCTTTTTTTTAATTTTTGTTTTTGGCTCTGGGTTTTCTTACATTTATTTCCTTTCATGTGAGATGTAAATTTTAATCAGTTCTAATTTATAGACTTTGGTTTTAGGGAATTAAAGACATAGGCAACCAGATTTTATCATGCTTCAGATGTTTTCTAATGCCTTCTTTCTCTGATTTAGCTGTGGCCAGAGCATCTCCACAGAGACAGGGCAGGTGAGTAGGACAATTAATGACACTTGACTTTTTTTGTTCTTTAAAGGGGAAAGCCCAGTGCTCTGGGTAGGGAAATTTAAGAGTAAACTTTACATGTCCTCTGTGGACACTCTGGTTTTCAGCAGAATCATGATGGCTGTCTGACATTGCAACCAGGTTCAAAACATTGGATTCTTTATTTCTGACCCATTATCTAAGTGGTCAGTTTCTTCTGCAAGGTACCACTGTGAACTGTGCCTTAACATCCAGGTTTTACTAGTGTAATCTCTTACCAGTGTTTACTCCTTTTTGTTTTTGCTTTTATTTTTTTGTGAGACCGAGTCTTGCTCTGTTGCTCAGGCTAGAGTATAGTGGCTCGATCTTGGCTCACTGCAACCCCAGCCTCCCAGGTTCAAGTAATTCTTCTGCCTCAGCCTCCAGAGTAGCTGGGATTATAGGCACACCCCACCACACCTGGCTAATTTTTGTATTTTTAATAGAGACGGGATTTCATCATGTTGGTCAGGCTGGTGTTGAACGCCTGATCTCAAGCGGTCCACCTGCCTCGGTCTCCCAAAGTGCTGGGATTATAGGCGTGAGCCACAGCACTCAGCCTAATTCTAACTTTTAATACGTCAAACCTGGAATTCCTTCTAGCCATTATGTCCCCTCTTTCAGCATTTTGATACCCTCCGTGGACTATGTGTCACAATAACTAATAACAGGATGACCTATGATATAGCCAGGCACCGCATCAGAGGATTGGCAGTGACGGTGAAGTGATGCCACCCCAGTGTGACTTCTCTGGGCTGTAGTTTGGATCTGGCTGACAGTGGAAGTCCAGCCGGCTGCTGTCTGGTGAGCTGAAGTGTTCCGAGCAGGAACTGCTTGGCTTCACCTCAGGTAGTGCCCCACAGCTGTCCCGAAGTGCTGGCAAGAGGTAAAGTGGCCTGCCACACAGCAGTGGAGAGTGAGTGCTGAGGCCGCTGGCAGATGAGGCAGAGAAGCAAGAGGCCCCAGCATCATGGTTCACTTCAGGGAGCAGTTGTAGCTTTGAAACCATCCTTTGTTGGTTCCCCATGAAGCTGAGTTGAATACTTGTCCATTTATCTAGATAGCAATCCCAAACATTAGGCTGTCTCCAAGAAGTGGGACCTCCTTGCCCTTTGCCCTTTTGCCCTTTGAATTTTTAGCTGCAATCACTTCATCCTCAAGTCCTTTCTCCTGTGGCCCCTTCAGTAAGACCCACTTTCATGCCTTTTTTTTTAAATTTTATGTTTTTAGAAATAAGGTCTTGCTGTGTTGCCCACACTGCAGTGCAGTGGCACCATCATAGCTCATAGGAACCTTGAATTCTGGGCTCAAGCGATCCTCCCCACTCAGTCTCCCGAGTTGGCGGGATTGCAGGCGTGAGCCTTTCATACTTTAAATAGAAATAAATTACTTGGCAGAAAGCAGGCTTCTCACTGATAGCTAATGGTACTCAGTTAACATTCTGTCCTTAATTGAGTAGTAAAGACTGAGCAGCCGATTGCTTCTAATTTTTGTTCACTTCTGCTGTTGTGATTCTAATTTCCTAAGGGTTTAAAGTCTTGAAAACCCTTTTGCATTTTAGGAATTCTGATTGGTTGTTTTCCTCACTTATTTGGGATTTTGCTATTTGGTTGCTTAGGTGTCAGTAGCCCTCGTTTTATAAAGTATCTGTTTCGTTTTTGCAGTCGCATCCTGAATGTCCTGTCAAGAACTGGTAACACCAGTGGGTCTTGTAAGTAGAGTCTACTCAAAGCAGTAACATTTCAAAGTGCCTTTGTAGAGAAGACTCAAATGTGATTTGGGATGTGTAGCCTAAGTTGGTTCTAGGTTCATCACCTCTAGGGCTGTCTTTTTTAGGTTGGTGAAACGAAATTTCCCTACTGTCAGGAGCGAAGGAGGGCCTCTGCTTCTTTTCCAACATACTTCCTTTCCTCTTTTTTTTTTATTTTTGTTTTTGGCTCTGGGTTTTCTTACATTTATTTCCTTTCATGGGATATGTAAATTTTAATCAGTTCTAATTTATAGACTTTGGTTTTAGGGAGTTAAAGACATAGGCAACCAGATTTTATCATGCTTCAGATGTTTTCTAATGCTTTCTTTCTCTGATTTAGCTGTGGCCAGAGCATCTCCACAGAGACAGGGCAGGTGAGTAGGACAATTAATGACACTTGACTTTTTTTGTTCTTTAAAGGGGAAAGCCCAGTGCTCTGGGTAGGGAAATTTAAGAGTAAACTTTACATTTCCTCTGTGGACACTCTGGTTTTCAGCAGAATCATGATGGCTGTCTGACATTGCAACCAGGTTCAAAACATTGGATTCTTTATTTCTGACCCATTATCTAAGTGGTCAGTTTCTTCTGCAAGGTACCACTGTGAACTGTGCCTTAACATCCAGGTTTAACTAGTGTAATCTCTTACCAATGTTTACTCATTTTTGTTTTTGCTTTTATTTTTTTGTGAGACCGAGTCTTGCTCTGTTGCCCAGGCTAGAGTATAGTGGCACCATCTTGGCTCACTGCAACCTCAGCCTCCCAGGTTCAAGTGATTCTTCTGCCTCAGCCTCCAGAGTAGCTGGGATTATAGGCATACCCCACCACGCCTGGCTAATTTTTGTATTTTTTTTTTTTTTTTTGAGACGGAGTTTCGCTCTTGTTACCCAGGCTGGAGTGCAATGGCGCAATCTCGGCTCACCACAACCTCCGCTTCCTGGGTTCAAGCAATTCTCCTGCCTCAGCCTCCTGAGTAGCTGGGATTACAGGCACGTGCCACCCTGCCCAGCTATTTTTTTGTATTTTTAGTAGAGACGGGGTTTCACCATGTTGTCCAGGATGGTCTCGATCTCTCGACCTCGTGATCCACCCGCCTTGGCCTCCCAACGTGCTGGGATTACAGGCTTGAGCCACCGCGCCCGGCCTAATTTTTGTATTTTTAATAGAGACGGGATTTCATCATGTTGGTCAGGCTGGTGTTGAACACCTGATCTCAAGCGATCCACCTGCCTCGGTCTCCAAAGGGCTGGGATTACAGGCGTGAGCCACAGCACTCAGCCTAATTCTAACTTTCAGTATGTCAAACCTGGAATTCCTTCTAGCCATTATGTCTCCTCCTTCAGCATTTTGATACCCTCAGTGGACTATGTGTCACAATAACTAATAACAGGATGACCTATGATATAGTCAGGCGCCACACTGGAGGAGTGGCAGTGATGGTGAAGTGATGCCACCACAGTGTGACTTCTCTGGGCTGTAGTTTGCATCTGGCTGACAGTGGAAGTCCAGCTGGCTGCTGTCTGGTGAGCTGAAGTGTTCCGAGCAGGAACTGCTTGGCTTCACCTCAGGTAGTGCCGCACAGCTGTCCCGAAGTGCTGGCAAGAGGTAAAGTGGCCTGCCACACAGCAGTGGAGAGTGAGTGCTGAGGCCGCTGGCAGATGAGGCAGAGAAGCAAGAGGCCGCAGCATCATGGTTCACTGCAGGGAGCAGTTGTAGCATTGAAACCATCCTTTGTTGGTTCCCCATGAAGCTGAGTTGAATACTTGTCCATTTATCTAGATAGCAATCCCAAACATTAGGCTGTCTCCAAGAAGTGGGACCTCCTTGCCCTTTGCCCTTTTGCCCTTTGAATTTTTAGCTGCAATCACTTCATCCTCAAGTCCTTTCTCCTGTGGCCCCTTCAGTAAGACCCACTTTCATGCCTTTTTTTTTAAATTTTATGTTTTTAGAAATAAGGTCTTGCTGTGTTGCCCACACTGCAGTGCAGTAGCACCATCATAACTCATAGGAACCTTGAATTCTGGGCTCAAGCGATCCTCCCCACTCAGTCTCCCGAGTTGGCGGGATTGCAGGCGTGAGCCTTTCATACTTTAAATAGAAATAAATTACTTGGCAGAAAGCAGGCTTCTCACTGATAGCTAATGGTACTCGGCTAACATTCTGTCCTTGATTGAGTAGTAAAGACTGAGCAGCTCATTGCTTCTAATTTTTGTTCACTTCTGCTGTTGTGATTCTAATTTCCTAAGGGTTTAAAGTCTTGAAAACCCTTTTGCATTTTAGGCATTCTGATTGGTTGTTTTCCTCACTTATTTGGGATTTTGCTATTTGGTTGCTTAGGTGTCAGTAGCCCTCGTTTTATAAAGTATCTGTTTCGTTTTTGCAGTCGCATCCTGAATGTCCTGTCAAGAACTGGTAACACCAGTGGGTCTTGTAAGTAGAGTCCACTCTAAGCAGTAACATTTCAAAGTGCCTTTGTAGAGAAGACTCAAATGTGATTTGGGATGTCTAGCCTTAGTTAGTTCGAGGTTCATCACCTCTAGGGCTGTCTTTTTTAGGTTGGTGAAATGAAATTTCCCTACTGTCAGGAGCGAAGGAGGGCCTCTGCTTCTTTTCCAACATACTTCCTTTCCTCTTTTTTTTTTATTTTTGTTTTTGGCTCTGGGTTTTCTTACATTTATTTCCTTTCATGGGATATGTAAATTTTAATCAGTTCTAATTTATAGACTTTGGTTTTAGGGAGTTAAAGACATAGGCAACCAGATTTTATCATGCTTCAGATGTTTTCTAATGCCTTCTTTCTCTGATTTAGCTGTGGCCAGAGCATCTCCACAGAGACAGAGCAGGTGAGTAGGACAATTAATGACACTTGACTTTTTTTGTTCTTCAAAGGGGAAAGCCCAGTGCTCTGGGTAGGGAAATTTAAGAATAAACTTCACATTTCCTCTGTGGACACTCTGGTTTTCAGCAGAATCATGATGGCTGTCTGACATTGCAACCAGGTTCAAAACATTGGATTCTTTATTTCTGACCCATTATCTAAGTGGTCAGTTTCTTCTGCAAGGTACCACTGTGAACTGTGCCTTAACATCCAGGTTTTACTAGTGTAATCTCTTACCAGTGTTTACTCCTTTTTGTTTTTGCTTTTATTTTTTTGTGAGACCGAGTCTTGCTCTGTTGCCCTGGATAGACTATAGTGGCTCGATCTTGGCTCACTGCAACCTCAGCCTCCCAGGTTCAAGTAATTCTTCTGCCTCAGCCTCCAGAGTAGCTGGGATTATAGGCACACCCCACCACGCCTGGCTAATTTTTGTATTTTTAATAGAGATGGGATTTCATCATGTTGGTCAGGCTGGTGTTGAACGCCTGATCTCAAGCGGTCCACCGGCCTCGGTCTCCCAAAGTGCTGGGATTACAGGCGTGAGCCACAGCACTCAGCCTAATTCTAACTTTTAATATGTCAAACCTGGAATTCCTTCTAGCCATTATGTCCCCTCTTTCAGCATTTTGATAACCTCTGTGGACTATGTGTCACAATAACTAATAACAGGATGACCTATGATATAGCCAGGCACCACATCAGGGGAGTGGCAGTGACGGTGAAGTGATGCCACCCCAGTGTGACTTCCCTGGGCTGTAGTTTGCATCTGGCTGACAGTGGAAGTCCAGCCGGCTGCTGTCTGGTGAGCTGAAGTGTTCCGAGCAGGAACTGCTTGGCTTCACCTCAGGCAGTGCCCCACAGCTGTCCCGAAGTGCTGGCAAGAGGTAAAGTGGCCTGCCACACAGCAGTGGAGAGTGAGTGCTGAGGTCGCTGGCAGATGAGGTAGACAAGCAAGAGGCCCCAGCATCATGGTTCACTTCAGGGAGCAGTTGTAGCTTTGAAACCATCCTTTGTTGGTTCCCCATGAAGCTGAGTTGAATACTTGTCCATTTATCTAGATAGCAATCCCAAACATTAGGCTGTCTCCAAGAAGTGGGACCTCCTTGCCCTTTGCCCTTTTGCCCTTTGAATTTTTAGCTGCAATCACTTCATCCTCAAGTCCTTTCTCCTGTGGCCCCTTCAGTAAGACCCACTTTCATGCCTTTTTTTTTAAATTTTATGTTTTTAGAAATAAGGTCTTGCTGTGTTGCCCACACTGCAGTGCAGTAGCACCATCATAACTCATAGGAACCTTGAATTCTGGGCTCAAGCGATCCTCCCCACTCAGTCTCCCGAGTTGGCGGGATTGCAGGCGTGAGCCTTTCATACTTTAAATAGAAATAAATTACTTGGCAGAAAGCAGGCTTCTCACTGATAGCTAATGGTACTCGGCTAACATTCTGTCCTTGATTGAGTAGTAAAGACTGAGCAGCTCATTGCTTCTAATTTTTGTTCACTTCTGCTGTTGTGATTCTAATTTCCTAAGGGTTTAAAGTCTTGAAAACCCTTTTGCATTTTAGGCATTCTGATTGGTTGTTTTCCTCACTTATTTGGGATTTTGCTATTTGGTTGCTTAGGTGTCAGTAGCCCTCGTTTTATAAAGTATCTGTTTCGTTTTTGCAGTCGCATCCTGAATGTCCTGTCAAGAACTGGTAACACCAGTGGGTCTTGTAAGTAGAGTCCACTCAAAGCAGTAACATTTCAAAGTGCCTTTGTAGAGAAGACTCAAATGTGATTTGGGATGTGTAGCCTAAGTTGGTTCTAGGTTCATCACCTCTAGGGCTGTCTTTTTTAGGTTGGTGAAATGAAATTTCCCTACTGTCAGGAGCGAAGGAGGGCCTCTGCTTCTTTTCCAACTTACTTCCTTTCCTCTTTTTTTTATTTTTGTTTTGGCTCTGGGTTTTCTTACATTTATTTCCTTTCATGTGAGATGTAAATTTTAATCAGTTCTAATTTATAGACTTTGGTTTTAGGGAGTTAAAGACATAGGCAACCAGATTTTATCATGCTTCAGATGTTTTCTAATGCCTTCTTTCTCTGATTTAGCTGTGGCCAGAGTAGCTCCACAGAGACAGGGCAGGTGAGTAGGAGAATTAATGAAACTTGACTTTGTTTTGTTTTGAAGTGGAGAAAACCCAATGCTCTCGGTAAGCAAATTTAAGAGTAGACTTCACATTTCCTCTGTGGACACTCTGTGGTTCTCAGCAGGATCACAATGGCTGTTTGACATCACAATCAGTTTCAAAATATTAGAGTCCTTATCCCCGACCCATTATCTAAGTGGTCAGTTTTTTCTGCAAGGTATCTCTGTGAACTGTGCCTTAATATTCCAGGCTCTACTAGTCTAAGCACTTATCAGTGTTTATTCCTTTTTATTTTTGGTTTTAGTTTAGTGTTTTTTGAGGCTGAGTCTTGCTCACCCAGACTGAAATGCAGTCGTACAATCTTGGCTCAGTGCAACCTCCACCGCCTGAGTTCAAGTTATTCTCCTGCCTCACCCTCTCGAGCAGCTGGGGTTACAGGCACACACCACTACGCCTGGTGAATTTTTGTATTTTTTTTTTTTTTTTTTTTTGAGACAGAGTTTCGTTCCTGTTACCCAGGCTGGAGTGCAATGGCGCCATCTCGGCTCCGCAACCTCCGCCTCCTGGGCTCAGGCAATTCTGCCTCAGCCTCCTGAGTAGCTGGGATTACAGGCACATGCCACCATGCCCAGCTAATTTTTTTGTATTTTTAGTAGAGACGGGGTTTCACCATGTTGATCAGGCTGGTCTTGAACTCCTAACCTCAAATGATCCGCCTGCCTTGGCCTCCCAAAGCACTGAGATTACAGATGTGAGCCACTGCGCCTGGCCTGTTTACTTCTTTTTAAGTGGCGTCCTCACCTTGGTCATTTACTCCAGTCTGTGTACCACTTGCAGCTGAATCTCCTGAGGCACTGCTTTGGTTATGTCAGTCCCCAATTCAAATAGCTCATAGAAAAATCAAGCTGTTTACCCCAACAATAATTAACGCCTTCTGTGACCTGGCCTTAACCTATCTTTCAGACTCATCTGCTTCTCTTCCTATTAATGAATCCTCTGCTCTAGCCAGAGCTAGATGGAGGGTTGTTGCCCAGGTGCCAAACTATACGGATTGCTGAAAAAAATTGCCGGAATAAATACCAAGTATGGTTCTAGATAACTATGGTTTCCACATTGACTCCTTGAATTACTGTACAGATGCGAATTGGTCATTCTTGTTCCCCCCATCAAGCCAAATAGTGCTGTCAGGTTGGGAAAGTTTGTGTTCTGGCTAGCTCTGATCTTTGTTGAGTATTTTTACAACATGTAAGACACCAACTCCTGACACCAATGTGTGAAATGTCATTTAAAGTCAGCAGTTGCAGTCTTGGTGCAGTGGCTCATGCCTATAATCCCAGCACTTTGGGAAGCCAAGGTGGGCGGATCACTTGAGGTCAGGAGTTTGAGACCAGCCTGGCCAAGATGGCAAAACTCCTTCTCTACTAAAAATACAAAAATTAGCGGGGTGTGTGGCATACGCCTCTAATTCCAGCTACTCAGGAGGCTGAGGCATGAGAATCACTTGAACCTGGTAGGCGGAGGTTGCAGTGAGCCACGATTGTGCCACTGTACTTGAGCTTGGGTGAATGAGACTCTCAAAAAAAAAAAAAAAAAAAAAAGTGAAGTCAGTTGCAGTCAGCTGAAATTCTAGTGCCGAATAAGGCATTGTGTAAAGCCATTAGTCGTTGATGATCAGTTTTATTAATTGTATTTTCAAAGTCCGGCTTATATATTTAAAGTTTCACTCTTGTTGCCCAGGCTGGAGTGCAATGACACGATCTCAGCTCACTCCATCCTCTACCTCCTGGATTCATGTGATTCTCCTGCTTCAGCCTCCTGAGTAGCTGGGATTACAGGCATGCACCACCATGCCCAGCTGATTTGGCATTTTTTTTTTTTTTGAGACGGATTTTCGCTCTTGTTACCCAAGCTGGAGTACAATGGTATGATCTCGGCTCACCACAACCTCTGCCGCCTGGGTTCAGGCAATTCTCCTGCCTCAGCCTCCTGAGTAGCTGGGATTACAGGCACGCACCGCCATGCCCAGCTGATTTTTTGTATTTTTAGTATAGATGGGGTTTCACCATGTTGACCAGGATGGTCTCAATCTCTTGACCTTGTGATCCACCCGCCTCGGCCTCCCAAATGATTTGGCATTTTTAGTAGAGATGGGGTTTCTCCATGTTGATCAGGCTGGTCTTGAACTTCCAACCTGAAGTGCTCCACCCACCTCGGACTCCCAAAGTGCTGGGATTACAGGTGTGAGCCACCATGCCTGGCCAAAAGTCATGCTTACTGAAGTATGATTTACATATGGCAAAATTAACCCTTTTTAGATGTACAGTTTGATAGATTTTGACAACCATATGAGGTAGTGTAACCACCACTACTATCAAGATGCAGAGTATTTCCATTGCTGTTATAGTCATTTTAAATGTTCTATCATGGCTCCTAAGAAGTATTCCGGTATATAATATTATACATAATGAAGTCTTTATTAGATAACGGTAATGTATCTGATTTTTAAATAGAAAAAATAGTTTCTGGCCAGGCGTGGTGGCTCACGCCTATAATCTGAGCACTTTGGGAGGCCGAGGTGGGTGGATCATCTGATGTCGGGAGTTCGAGACCAGCCTGACCAACATGGAGAAACCCCGTTTGTACTAAAAATACAAAATTAGCTGGGTGTGGTGGCACATGCCTATAATCTCAGCTACTCAGGAGGCTGAGGCAGGAGAATTGATTCAACCTTGGAGGCGGAGGCTGCAGTGAGCTGAGATTGTGCCATTGCACTTCAGCCTGGGCAACAAGAGCAAAACTCCGTCTCAAAAAAAAAAAAAAGTTTCTTCCAGCCTCTGCTAGATAGGTGGTAAACAAATATTTAAAAAAAAAATCAATTTTAAGGGGCCTGCAAGGAGTGCCCACAGGTCTTGGTCCAGTCCCAGGTGGTGTCTATATATGGGATAATATAGGAAGAATAGATATGGGAGGAAGGTGGTGAGTTTGGTTTTGGTCATGCTAGAATCAAGGAGCCTGTAGGCAGGGCTGATATTCAAAACTTTCTACCAACCAACAGAACACAGGCAGGAATTTGTGAGGACGGATACTATTAATAAATCGGTAAGGCTGTATCTCTGCATACTGATTGCATATTAGCCCTGCCCACAGGACATCCAGGTAGAAAATTGGAACTGTGGAGTTAGAAGTCAGAAGAAAAGTTGGGCACAATATAATGGATTGGGCTGGTGTAATTAATAATTGATTGTATTGTCATGGGAGGGCTGGGGATGAGTCCTGGGATTGAGTCGAGGAAGACTGGTGAATGGAAAGGTGAGACGAGAACCGGAAGACAACTGTTTCCCAGAAATCAAGAAGAGTTTTAAGCATAGAGTAGTCAATAGGATAGCAAAGGCCTATCAACTTGGCAGTGTCAAAAGTGGTAAAAATGGTGGAAACAGATGAACATGTGTGTCTGTAGCAGGTGCAAATATGTTCTGTAACAGTGTATTAAGTATTTTTCTCTCATTATGAAAGTATATTATACTTATACAGTATTTGGAGCCAGGAGGGTGGCCAGTTTCAACCTGCTGGAACTTCTGAGCCAAATACCAGGGTCAGCCAAGGATGAGGACCCCAGGGGGTTCTCACCACTGGCACCCTGGGTGGTGCAGGTGCACTGTTGAGTTTGACACCTACCAGAGCAATCTGTCAGTTCAAGACGGTAGTCCTGGTTTGATGCTGCAGAGAGTAGCACTGAAGAGAATCTCCCTACTCTGAGGCTGCCTCTCTCCATCTGAGGCCCTCTACCCTTCTCAGACAACTGGATCTAAAATTTGATAAAGAAAAATGACAACTCCCTGATCAGATTTTCCCCTGCACCAAAACTGTCTGAATACATAAAATCTGACAGAGCCCATTTCACTCTCAGTATGTGACAGACTCCTCCTTAGAAGGATATGAGACAGATGGAATGATGTAGTAGAAAGATGGAAAAAGATAGAAAATCAGGTAGAATAGAAGGATTGAATAGTTCCAAAGGAGGAGAACAGAGTTATTGTGGGAAACAAAAAATTTACAAGTGGTCAAGATCAGAAAAGGTGGGAAATGCCATGAAAAGAAGACTGTCGAGTTCATACTTCTCTTGTTTTTCTCCTGTCTCATCACTCAGCTCCGTGGTAGTGATTGAGTCTGACTCTGATAACGAATGCGACACCTATGAGAAGAAAACTAAGATACTGAAAACAAGCCACGACGGCAAGTATATATCACTTTGTTAGAGAAGTGGCTGAGCTCCAAAGCCTCATCACACATGGTAGTTTCAGGATCAGTGTCCGCAGACTTTCTATTCGGAATTCCTCAGCAGCAAGTGCCACCGTTTCCTTCCTCATATGTGCTGGATGTGGATATGGCTGGGTTCCCTATACCCCCTTGTTAATTTCCCAGCAGCAGCAACTGTTCTCGCTGCCTCAGACCTCAGTGGCCCCCTCAGTAGAGATTTTACCTGTCTAGAGCTACATCCGTGAAGCGGGGTGGGGGTGGGTGGTCAAGAACTGAGGCTGGGAATTATGGAGGCTTCTCTGTAGCCCCCTCTTCCTCTCTCCCCCTTCTATGTGTAGGAATGACGAGGAATAAGAAAGGAATAAGAGGCCTGGCTCATTTTTTCTTCCAATTTGAAGGGTGGTGGTTTATGGGCCAGCTGGCAGTGTCGTGTTGGGAAAAATCCTTATTTTCTCCATTGAGTTGTTGGTCTTTGCTGTTTGCCAGTCCCTCTGTATTTTCTACAGATTTTTGTATTTCTTAGAGCCTGTTTGGATTCAGAAGCCCCTTTAACCTTCTGGGAGGCTTGGAGCTTAACTCAGCTTAAAACCTACCTGCTCAGTGGGCATGAAACACAGGAAGACTAGAAAGTTTTTAAGAACTAGGGACAGTATTTCATTGACCTTTGTTCTCCCAGTACAGGTGTAGGGCATGATACATGGGCACCTAGTTAATGTTTGCTGATCCGAACTCCACTGAAAATGGGAGGCCCGTAAAGCACCAACTACTTTTTTTTTTCTTCTTGGAGACAGGATCTTGGTCTGTTGCCCAGACTGGAATGCAGTGGTGTGTTCTCAGCTCTCCGCAACCTGAGCCTCCCAGGCTCAAGTGTTTCTCCTGCCTCAGCCTCCTGAGTAGCTGGGATTATACGCACCTGCCACCGTTCCCAGCTAATTTTTGTATTTTTTTTTTTTTTTTTTTTTTTTAGTAGAGATGGGGTTTCATCATGTTGGCCAGGCTGGTCTTGAACTCCTGGTCTCAAGTGATTTGTCCTCTTTGGCCTCCTAAACGGCTAGGATACAGGTGTGAACCACTGGGCCTGACCATCACCAGCTACTTCTTAGATCAGGGGTCCCCAAACTTTTTACACAGGGGGCCAGTTCACTGTCCCTCAGACCGTTGGAGGGCCGCCACATACTGTGCTCCTCTCACTGACCACCAATGAAAGAGGTGCCCCTTCCTGAAGTGTGGCGGGGGGCCGGATAAATGGCCTCAGGGGGCCGCAGTTTGGGGACGCCTGTCTTAGATAATTACCCAAGAGCTATTGTTGGCCAGAGCTTCTTAGCTAACCTGGGACATCAGAGCAGGGAAGGGAGAGTTGGTTTGAAATGCTAGTCTCCTATTGTTCCATCACCCATCCTTTTGAATTTCTTTCCCTGATTCCTCTCTCTACCTCTGGGTGGCTATGCTTGAGCAGGACAGAGGTTTGAGTACAGAGTAGAGGGTCTGACATGACAAGCCGTTGAAATGTGAAAGGAACTCCATGGAGGCAGCTTGAGGGCAGGGAGGAGTGACAGAGCCAGAAACCAGTTCACAACTGGAGGCTGCCAGGTGCTTGCCTCCTCGAATCAGAAGAGAGAGATCCTTTTGAGCGTGAACTTTCAACTAAGGCTGCTCTTAACTTGCTGGCCTGTGGACTGTAACTGTGGGCATCCATCCCAGCGATGGAGGGATGAAGGATGCTCCTATAGGACAGGCTTTGTACATTTCTTTACTGTTCTCTATGTGGCATTTCTTTTTATTTAGACAGTTCTGCAGAAAACAAGGCCCAGTGAACTCTAAAGCATAACTCCAACCTTTGTTGCTATATGTAGTCATTTTTAAATATATTGTAAGCAGTGTGTCCCTACTTTTACTAATTTTTAATTTCAGCTGTAGGTGGCAAATCTTTTAAGTCTTCTAGGAAGGAAGCAGGGCTTTTTACCATAGGAACATCCACTCCTTTTCTCTTCCTTTATTGTGTATTTGAAGTTTTTTCATAATTAATTAAAATAACAGATGAGACTCTCAAAATAATCTGCAGTTTTAGGATAAAGAGTTTTTGTACCATAAATATATCTTTCACATCTTGCCTATGCTGTGGTTTAGATTTTTAGATTTTTTTTGCATCCAGAAACATACAAACCTAGAACTTGAGCTCCAAACAGACTCCAAAGAGCATGTGGCGTCAGACACACTAGGCTTCCTTTCAGTGCAGGCAGTGATGTCCCAGATGTTCCCGAGGCCTCTCAGAGAGTGCTGGCATCGGGACCTGCTCCTGGCTCTTAGATCAGTGGTTCTGAGAGCTTTGCACTTATGAACTAATTTAAAGAGTGAAATTTTGGTGACCAACAGAGTTGTCAATTTTTAATTTGTCTAATAAAGGAAATTAAAAGAAAAAACAAACTTCAGCTACCATTTGCTATTTTTGTACTTTTGTAAAGAGCACCAAAAGTTTAACCAAGATACAATCACAAAATAAAGGACAGCCCTTTAAATTTTAGAAATTTTACTTGATGGGGGGAAAATAACACTTTATTATTCTATTTTGTCTTATTTTGCTGTGAACCAGTGAAAATATACAAGTCCACACACCTGTGTTTGGGAAGCCCTGAGCAACTACTGCATCTTGCTACTTAGAGACTGTGATTTGAAAATTGACGCATGAATTTGGTTGCTATTTGATCTGTCACTGCTGTCAGTAAAATAAAAAATAGAGGGAAAAACAATGTAAAATAACTTTCTTTTTTAAAAAATTATTTTTAATTTTTGTAAGTAGATAGTAGATGTATATATTTATATGGGATACATGAGGTGTTTTGATACAAGCATGCAATATGTAATAGTCACATCATGGAGAATGCGATTATCTGTCCCCTGAAGCATTTATCCTTTGTGTTACAAGCAATCCAGTTATACTCTCTTAATTATTTTAAAATGTACAATTGAGTTATTGACTTACAGTCATCCTGTTGTGCTATTAAATAGTAGATCTTATTCTTTCTATTTTTTTGTACCCATTAACCATCCCCACTTTTCCACACCCCTCCACTATCCACCTCTGGTAACTATTCTTCTATTCTCTATCTTCTTCAGTTCAATTGTTTTCATTTTTAGACCCCACAAATAAATGAGAGCATGCGAAGTTTGTCTTTCTGTTCCTGGCTTATTTCACTTAACATAATGACGTCCGGTTCTATCCATGTTGTTGCAAATGACAGGATATCATTCTTTTTTATGGTTGAGCAGTACTCCCTTGCTCCATTGTGTATATGTACCACATTTTCTTTATCCATTCATCTGTTTTTGTTTTTGCTTTTTTTTTTTTTTAAGGGATGGAGTCTCGCTCTGCTGCCCAGGCTGGAGAGCAGTGGCACAATCTTGGCTCACTGCAGCCTCTGCCTCCTGGGTTCAAGCAATCCTCCTGCCTCAGCCTCCTGAGTAGCTGGGACTATAGGCATGTGCTACCACTCCTGGCTAGTTTTTGTATTTTTAGTAGAGACGAGGTTTCACCATTTTGGCCAGGCTGGTCTCAAACTTCTGGCCTCAAGTGATCCATGTGCCTCCCAAAGTGCTGGGATTACAGGCATGAGCCACTGCACCTGGCCTGCATTTATCTATTGATGGATGCTTAGGTTGATTCAAATCTTGGCTGTTGTGAACAGTGCTACAACAAACATGGGAGTGCAGCTATCACTTTGATATACTGATTTTCTTTCTTTGGGGTATATATGCAGCAGTGGGTTTGCTGAATTGTATGGTAGCTCTGTTTTTAGTTTTTTGAGGAACCACCAAACTGTTCTCCAGGGTGGTTGTAATAATCTACATTCCCACCAGGAGTGTACGAGGGTTCCCTTTTCTCCTTATCCTCACCAGCATTTGTTATTGCCTGTCTTTTGTATAAAAGCCATTTTAACTGGGGTGAGATGATACCTCTTTGTAGTTTTTTTGTTTTTTTGTTTTGTTTGAGACAGTCTCATTCTGTCGCCCAGGCTAGAGTGCAGGGATGTGATCTTGGCTTACTGCAACTTCCACCTCCCAGGTTCAAGTGATTATCCTTGCCTCAGCCTCCCAAGTAGTTTGGACTACAGTTGTGCACCACCATACCTGGCTAATTTTTGTATTTTTTGTAGAGATGGGTTTTTGCCATGTTGGCCAGGCTGGTCTCGAACTCCTGACCTCAGGTGATCCACCTGCCTTGGCCTCCCGAACTGCTGGGATTACAGGTGTGAGCCTCTGTGCCTGGTCACTAATTGTAGTTTTGATTTGCATTTCTCTGATGATCAATGATGTTGAGCACCTTTTCATATGCATATGTGCCATTTGTATTTCTTCTTTTGAGAAATGTGTGTTCAGATCTTTTGTCTCATTTTTCATTGGATTATTACATTTTTTTCCTATAGAGTTGTTTGACCTCCATATATACTCTAGTTATTAATCCCCTGTCAGATGGGTAGTTTGCAGTTATTTTGTCCCATTCTGTGGGTTGTCTCTTCACTTTGTTGATTGTTTTCTTTGCTGTGCAGAAGGTTTTTAACTTAATGTGATCCCACTTGTCCATTTTTGCTTTGGTTACCATTGCTTGTGGGGTATTTGCAGTTTTCTTGTAGTAGTTTCATAGTTCGAGGTCTTAGATTTAAGTCTTTAATCCATTTTGATTTGATTTTTGCATAGCAAGAGATAGGAATCTAGCTTCATTCTTTTGGATATGGATATCCAGTTTTCCCAGCACCATTTATTGAAGAGCCTGCCTTTGCCCCAGTGTATGTTCTTGGCACCTTTGTTTAAAATGAGTTCATTGTAGGTATGTGGATTTGTTTCTGTGTTCTCTATTCTATTCCATTGGTCTGTGTGTTTGTTTTTATGCCAATACCATGCTGTTTTGGTTATTATAGCTCTGTAATGTAATTTGAAGTCAGGTTATATGATTCCTCCAGTTTTGTTCTTTTTGCTCAGGATAACTTTGGCTATTCTGGGTCTTTCATGGTTCCATATAAATTTTAGGATGGTTTTTTTCTAGTTATGTGAAGAATGGCAATGGTATTTTGATAGGGATTTCATTGAATCTGTAGATTTCTTTAGGAAGTATGGACATTTTTACAGTATTGATTCTTCTAATCCATGAACATGGAATCTTTCCATTTGTTGGTGTCCCCTTTAGAATAACTGATTTTTTTTTTTTTTTTTGAGATGGAGTCTCACTCTGTCACCCAGGCTGGAGTGCAGTGGCATGATCTTGGCTCACCACAACCTCTTCTTCCTGGGCTCAAGCAATTATCCTGCCTCAGGTTCCCCAGTAGCTGGGATTGCAGGCGTGTACCACCACGGCTGGCTAATCTTTTGTATTTTTAATAGAGATGGGGTTTGCCGTGTTGGCCAGGCTGGTCTAGAACTCCTCACCTCAAGTGATCTCCTGCCTCGGCCTCCTAAAGTGCTGGGATTACAGGTGTGAGCCACTGTGCCCAAGCTTAAAATAACGGATCCTTAACTGTTACTCAGAATGTTACATCCTGTCTTAATTTGTGTGAAATAATCTGCTGAAATTTAATGTGTAAAGAAGGAGGGAGTATATTTATGTATGGTTGTGTCTCTTGAATTTCAGGTAAGAATATGGAACGTTATAATGTGAAGCCTACCATCGAGGGACCCCCAATAGTTATTAGTGATGATGATGATGATGACAACAAGAACACTAGTGATTCAGAAGTTCCCAAAGACAAGAGTAATGATTCAGAAGTTCTTAAAGACAAGAGTAATGATTCAGAAGTTCCCAAAGACAAGAGTAATGATTCAGAAGTTCCCAAAGACAAGAGTAGTGATTCAGAAGTTCCCAAAGACAAGAGTAGTGATTCAGATGTTCCCGATGACGACGACAATCATGATTCGGATGATTCCGATGTTCCCGATGATGATGACAATCATGATTCCGATGTTCCCGATGACGACGACAATCATGATTCTGATGTTCCTGATGATGAGCATGATTCGGATGTTTCCGACGATGACAACGGTCATGATTCGGATGTTCCCGACGAAGATAGTAGTGATTCAGATGTTCCCAGTGACAGTAATGATTGGGAAGTTCCTGACAACAATACTGATGATTTCGAAGTTCCTGTGCCAGCAGAAGAAGATTTGTGTGATGAAGGCCAAATTGCCTCAGATGAGGAAGAGCTGGATGAGGCTGGTGAGCAGGATCTTGGTGAGAATCTTTGCGATCCACTGAGTGATCCTGAGGCTAACCTTGAGGTTTCAAAGAGAAAGCTGCCAACTGAGGAAGAGCCTGCACCTGTGGTGGAACAGTCAGGGAAAAGGAAGGCAAAAAGCGAAACTATTGTGGAGCCACTGAGGAAGAGGAAAGCAAAAACCAAAAATGTATCTGAGACACCTGGTAAGCTAGTCATTCCAAGTATGCCTGTCCCACTGAATGTCCCTTGCCTGCCAAATGTGCCTGTCTTATCTAGTCTGCCTGTCCTCCTCGTCAGCCCTGTGCCATTCCAGCAACTTCCTTGTGGCCCCAGGAGGCATTCATCCTGGTGAAACGATGGTTCTGGGAACGGGGGAGGAATGGCCACATCTTTCTCATGCTCCTGTATCTTAGTATTTGCTGTTCACCAGCCTGGAGTGCTGTCTCCTTAAACCTTATGTCCTGAGGATATCTTACTTTTCTTAGGACTCAGCCCAATTATCACTTCCTCTATATAAAGACATAAGTCAGAGTGGCTCCTCTCTCTCCTGGGTTACCAAAGTTCTGGAGCGCATCTCTACCAAAGCACTAGTCACACTGTTAGAATATGTTCCTGAGTCTGTCCCGTCTTGGCCCTGCCCCGGTAGACTGTGAGCCTCTTCATGGGAGGACTCTTCCTCATCTTTTTGTCTCTCTCAGGATTTGGCCTGGTTCTTAGCATGTGATAGAGGTTCAATAAGTTTTTTAAGTATATGAATGACTGATTATTGATACATAAGTCTCTAGCCAGAGCAGCTGGCAGGATGGGTCCTAGGCCAAGGAAGAAAAATTTGCCTTCCCTGCACACTGGGTGAAGGTGCTGCCTAGAATATGAGCCACTCATCAGAGCAAATGCATGAGCTGTGCTGTACCACCTCGTTGATTGCACATGCTTCGGTTGCCCACACTGTCTAGCTTCTAAGGGCATACTCCTGGACCCTCATAGTCCTTGGTTCCTGTGACAGAATCCTGCCCAGCTCATGCTGCTGGCAGCACTGTGAATTTATGTGGGTGAGATGGTTGAGAATGATGAAGGTGGCAGTACGCCGCTTCAGACCGTTTTGTTTAGAGATGTTGCACTGGACTTGGCTGTGAGGGCTCCTTTTGGGTTTACCTTTCTGTTAGTCTCTGGATGATACCAATTTTCAGGGTATAAGTAAACCATTCTTCTTTCAGCTGATAAAGGACATAAGAAGTGTGGGCATTCAAAGAAGAAACCCAGTGCAGCAAAAGTTGAAAATTGCAAGACTAGGTATGTACTGCTCCTGTTCAGTTGAACAATAATTGATTGCACAGTTCTCACATTGGGTAGTATATTGGGCACTTGGGTAGGGGTGCTCTGCAAGGGGATGAAGGAGTCTGGCTGGGATGGGGTTGGAGGACAAGATTTCTATCCTTGAGTGGGAGGGCCCAAGCAAGGGAGAACACCACCCATTGACTTTCTCTTTACTTCTCTCCCCACTCTCTGAGGCTGGGCATGGGCTCTCTACCAAGGTGCCTGCAGTTACCTGGGTGGAGGGGTCCTTTCTGCCCTGACAGCAGCTCTGGCTGCTGAGATTGCCCATGTCCTTCAACTCAGATCAAAGAATGATGTGTAGCCAAACAAGACACTTTTGGCTGGGCGTAGTGGCTCACGCCTGTAATCCAAGCACTTTGGAGGCCAAGACGGGCGAATCACCTGAGGGTGGGAGTTCAAGACCTGCCTGACCAACATGGTGAAACCTCGTCTTTAAATAAAAAAATTAAAAAATAAAAAGACACTTTTTTCCAGGCTGGATACAGCCTCATGGCCACCAGTTTGCTCTAAACCAAGGCAAAGGCAGTGGAAATGCTAAGAAGGTGGAAGCAACACATTGATCTGTTGGAATTGGAGGGAGAGTGGTCAAGATTGTCTTCCAGGTTTTTCTAGTGTTTTGGCTGAACCCACTTATTCTTACTACTGTGTATATTCTTATGAACTTTTAAAGCTTAAATGTTAGGATGAAATGGATTGCTTGTCATTCCTTTATTTTTATTAAGCTATATATAGTTGATACTGGAAACAACAACTGATCATTTAGACCAAAGTCATGTTAATACTTAAGGCAAAAAATTAATATATTTTCTTATTTAGATTCCAGGAATTTCTTAGTTTTTTCCTTAAAAATCTGATATAGTAAGCATAATTTTCTTTGTTTTTACTTTCATTGAAGAGTAATGTATACTCACATCTGAATTGTCTTACAAGACAAGGAATGCACTTGAAGGACTATATGTTATTTTTTAAGTAGTATTTGGGGACAATAAGTGTATCTTAAGGGAGGGGAAAACGACTGATGTGTCAGCCATAGGGGCACCAGGTCACCCTGGACCTGAGCAGAAGGGCTGTCTGTTTCTGTGCTGGCTGAGGCAGCCGGTAGCAGCTTGCCAAGTGCTCTCTTGGCTGGATCCCCTTTCAGCAAGGTTTTTGCTCCGGATTCCTAGCTACATATTTAAGCCGCTTTGCCTCCAGGGACATGTGTTTTGGGTAGCTCCCAGGTTGCTTTGCTAGAGCGTGACAAAGGAAGGGAGAAGCTGCCCCTTGGTGTCGTCAGTCTGCATTATGCAAAGGAGGCTAGCCTTTTTGGACTCTTAACTGTTGTTTAGCACTTCCTGTGTCAGTCTGGAGGCGTCCTGTTACGCTTAGCACTGTGCCTGTGGAGGCTGCTTGCTGGTCATGGTGTCTGATGTACCCAGTTGGGGGTCTTGTTGGTTTCTCTGATGTGAAAGTGATCAGCCTGCAGTAAAGAGCCACAGGCCTTGAGGCGAAAGTATGCGAAGCCAAAAGGCCAGCATCCTGTGAGCACAAACACGAGTCACGAAGTCTGCAGAGGGTTCAGGTTTGCATCTGCCACCTTAAATACGGATGTAAATTTGCTTTCAGGTCTAAGTAATTGGAGGCAGAAGTCCCCCATTTCAGGCTTGGGATGAAGACCCTTCCGTAATCTATGTCTTGTCTGGTACTTACTGCTCGGCAGCCCAACTTCCTCACAAAAGGTTTCGTTTGTGACTTAAGGGTTAATGAGTGTTCTGGCAAAATCTCAGTTTTAGGAGTTCTGTTTAGTCAGAAACCTGCTGCGTTTGCTCCCGTTCTATCTTTCTAGCTCTTTGGGCTCATCTCTGGACTTACTGGAGATGTAATTTTTATCTTACTGTTCCAGCTAAGATAAAAATGCTTCTTTTTAAATAATAGTTATTATAGTATGAGTCCTTTATGTGCTCAGCATTATTCTTTGTGCCCTTTGAATTAGGCCTTGAAAGATGGGGCAGCGATTGTGGTTTAACCAAATACCATGAGATATGGATCAGGAAATTCACTGTCTCTGTGACCTTTGGGCAAGTCTCTTGACCTCTGAGCACAGTGGAGAGCGTAAAAATAGTAATAGCTTTTTTGAAGGGCGGTTGTGAGGATTAAATATGACAATGCAAAAGGAAGTTCTTTGCAAATTTAAAGTGCTACACAGATGGTTATTCTCGGTAGAGGTGGACATGTGGTCATTGTAAGCCATGGGAAAATAGATTGTGCCAAGGCACAAATGTGGGAAATCGCAATTTGTATCCAGGGAACATTTAAGTTGCCCGCTTTGGCTAGAGTGGCAGTGGTAGCTAGGAATAAAGCTTGGGACCAGGTTGACCTTGGCCATGAATGTCAGGCCAAGCAGTCAGTGAAAAACCAGAGGGGGACGTTAATTGGAGCATGGCCTGTGAAAATGAATCTGGAGGGAGGGGTGTGTGTGTGATTGAGAAGAGAAAGAGCCTGGAGGTAAGGAACACTGGAATGTTCTCATATCCAGGCATAAAGAGTAGGATAAGAACTTGAACTAGAGTAGGAACCAGGGGGATGGAAAGGAGGGGCTGGCTGGAAGAGAAAGTGTGAAGACAGATAGTCCGTCTCTGTGCCCAATTGAACAAATAAAGAGAGAAAAGGAATTTTAAAATGCCTTTGAGGTTTTTCAGCCAATTGTAACAGAAATTTGATAATTGAACACACTTTAGCTGGAGATACATTCTTTTAGTTGGAAGTTTGCACTGGGCAATTGTAAATTCAGAACTAGGTCTCGGGAGAGAGCTCCAGAGTACAGATACAGATGTGGGGTTAAGTCTCATTGAAGTTGAAACCATGGGCTTCACGAAACCTCTGAAGGTTGCAAAGAGCGAAGAGAAAAGGCTACAGACGGATGCTTGAGAAATGCCTTCATCTAAGGATCTAGAGCAGGCGTCCCCAAACTTTTTACACAGCGGCCAGTTCACTGTCCCTCAGACCCTTGGAGGGCTGCCACATACTGTGCTCCTCTCACTGACCACCAATGAAAGAGGTGCCCCTTCCTGAAGTGCGGCGGGGGGCTGGATAAATGGCCTCAGGGGGCCGCATGCGGCTTGGGGACGCCTGATCTAGATGGAAGAGGGAGCGATAGGTTTTCAGGGTCTCTTCACAAGACACTTAACGCGTGCATTCCTTCTCTCTATTTAGCTACATAAATCTCAGTTGAATTTACCTTTGCAGGACTTGTAAGTGCAAAGTCCATAGAAGTTTCCTGTATGGCCATGGAAAGTCAAAGAAATACTCTGGAAAAAATTTAGAGCGAAATAAGGATGAACTGGTTCACAGAGTCTCCGGCCTGTTTAACAGAACCGACTGTGATAAAAAGGTAGGATCAGTGAACGAGCACTGATTGAGCACCTGCTATATACCAGTACTCTTGGCGCAGTGAGGTGTGCTAACCATGTATACTTCCCACCCTTGAGCAGAGGCAGTTGAGGCTGGGAGACGAGCCCTGGTACAGGTGAAAGCAGTAGAGAATGTGTATGAGTTATAATGTGTAGGACAGAAGGCTGTTACCACAGGAGATCAGCAGAGGGAGAAATCATTGAGAGCCTCAACAGCCAGGAGGTAAGATTGCCTGGAGGAAGTGAGACTCTGGTTCTTAAAGGATGGTAAGTGGTGAGAACAACAGGATGGGGGAGAGGGAGAGTTGAGGCTTGACAACCAGGAAGAGAGGATTCATGTGGAAGGATAATGGAAAAGAGCTGTGTGACCTTGAGCAAGTTACTTGGCCTCAGTTTCTTCATCTGTAAAATGGGGACAACATGATACTTATTACCTTGTAGGATTATTGTTACCCTTACATAAGTTAATACACATACAGTGCGTTAGAACAGGGCCTAGGATGTAGTAAGCTCTTATTTTTTGATAGTTTAGGACCAGATATTGGAGGACCTTGGTAATCAGGTTGGAGCAGGTTAAATTTACGTCAGTAGGCACCACTACATAGGGATGGGGTACATCAGGGAATGAATGAAATTAACCTGCTGAAAGAAATTAACCTGACAGTAACCTGTGGGTATGGACTGGATTGGATAAAATCTGGAGGCAGAGAGACCTATTGGTCATTAGATTTTTCAGACTTTATTGTCTCTGGTGACAAGACTTTCTGGAGGGAAGTTCTCATATATTCCTAAAGATTCCCCAGCTTTTGGTGCCTTTCTTGATGACAGTGGTGTCACATCAGATGGGTAGAGCCTGAAGTGTTCCGAGCTGCATTTTCAGTTCAGCCCCACCCACCTCAGCAGGCTTGTTCTTCTAACCCTTAGCTGCCCCAAGGACAAGAGAGTCCAAGTCCTGCGCTCACATGTTCTAGCAGTCTCCCTTGTGTCCTGATTGCCTTTTCGTCGTCTTTACCCAGACTTCAGTGTGGCTTTTATTCTCCCCGGAATATTTTGATTTGTGTGCTCTTGAATAAGTTTCTTCTCAAACTTGCTCTGAGCCAAGAACCTGGGGGAGAAAGTTTCTTTTCCTTTTTATTAGATGGTAAAAAAATTCTGGAGCTAATATTTTCTGGTCTGCTTAAAACTACTTTCTGGGCCAGGTGCTGTGGCTCACGCCTGTAATCCCACCACTTTGAGAGGCTGAGGCAGGTGGATCACCTGAGGTCAGGAGTTCAAGACCAGCCTGACCAACATGGTGAAACCCCGTCAATACAAAAAATTAGCTTGGTGTGGTTGTACATGCCTGTAATCCCAGCTACTTGTGAGGCTGAGGCAGGAGAATCGCTTGAAGGCGGAGGTTGCGGTGAGCTGAGATTGTGTCATTGCACTCCAGCCTGGGCAACAAGAGCAAAAACTGTCTGGGAAAAAAAAAAAACAAACTAAAATGCTTTCTGCTTTTCATTCTCAGCTGCAAGAGAAACGACGGATTGCCTCGAATAACAAGATGCTGAAAACTGCCGATTCATCATGCAGCAGTGGTGAGATGCCGTACCAAAACAGGCAGTGCATTGCTGAGATCCAGCTTGGCGTGAAAGTCTCAGCAATGATCCAGATTGACATGCAGCCCTCTACAGGTGGTGGTAGGATTGTGGCAGTCTGACCACTATGCTCTTTCCTTCTGACACTGTGCCTGTGAAATTACTCCTAGCTTGCAGCCTGTGTCACAGCTTGAACTGTCAAGTTTTGGGTGGGCAGGTATACTGTGTGTTGCTTAGAGGACATAATTATCGGATATCTCACCATCCCTGTGAATCCGGCCCATCCATCTTTCTACCAGGCCTGCCTTTCTCTCTGCGTTTCTCCTTTGCCAGCAGTAGCATCTTCATTGTCTCGGGAGCTGAGGTTCAAGGTTCCCTATTGTCTAGCTAGTCACCAAATCTTCCTTCACAGTAGCTCACCATTTCTTCTCCATCTGTGCCTCCATCCAAAGACAGGCCCTCATCCCTGCTCCATTTGGTCTCCCACGTGCTACTACATTGCTTTCCTGCTGAGAAACCAGGGTTTTTCAAGGCCTACAGCCTGGCTTTTGAGGCCATTGTAATCTGCTGCCATTCTCCTTGGCCGATCTTGTCTCTCAGTACTCTACTACTAGCCTATGGCCCAAACAGGCTCTCTTCACACTGGCCTTCAAAACATACCACAGGCTGGGTGTGGTGGCATACACCTGTAGTCCCAGTTACTTGAGAGGCTGAGTTGACAGGCTCGCTTGAGCCCACACTATGATCATACCTGTGAATAGCCATTTCACTCCAGCCTGGGCAATATAGAGAGACTCAGTCTCTAAAATGTTTTTAAAAATGTGCCACATAGTCGTGTTTACCACACCCAGAATGACCTTCCTGACTTTGCAAATTCAATCAATTAGTAAGAGTCCCTGAGGTCTCATTTTCTCCATAGAGCTTCTCCTAAGCAAATCTCATGGCCATAGTGATTGCTCCCCACCCTGTCCACCCACCTCTGTTCCCGAAGGGCAGAAACTAGATCTTGTCTGGCTGTTTTTCTGGCAGTGCCTCACAAAAAGTTGAGCATGTTGGAGCTGCTCCAAAAAGACCTGCTCACCGAAGGCTCTTCGCTATAAACGATATTGGGTTGATACAGGTGGAGATTTCACTTTGAGAATCCTGGGAAGGTAACACTCATGCCCACCTGCACGTGCTTCTGGAAGATAGCCTTGTGTCTGATGGGGCTGAAAGTTGAGGGATTTTTGGGTAGCAAATAAGAAGAGGATTGGGGCTGGGCACAGTGGCTCAGGCCTGTAATCCCAGCACTTTGGGAGGCCGAGGTGGGTGGATCACTTGAGGTCAGGAGTTCAGGACCAGCCTAGCGAACATGGCAAAACCCCATCTCTATTGAAAAAAAAAATACAAAAAATCAGCTGGGTGTGGTGGTGTGCACCTGTAATCCCAGCTACTCGGGAGGCTGAGGCAGGAGAGTTGCTTGAACTTGGGAGGTGGAGGTTGCAGTGAGCTGAGCTCATGCCACTATGCTGGGATGACAAAACAAGACTCTGTCTCAAACAAAAAAAAGAAGGGGACTGGTTTTAGTGCTCACAATTTCTTTCCATTCTTCTTTTTTGTTGTTGTTTTTTTTGAAACAGGGTTTCACCACTTTTTGGTCAGGCTGGTCTCGAACTCCTGACCTCAGGTGATCCACCTGCCTCAGCCTCCCAAAGTGCTGGGATTACAGGCATGAGCCACTGCGCCCAGTCTTCTATTCTTCTTTCAAGATTGAATCCAGGATACCTTGATCCATGAAATATGCCATGCTGCCTCCTGGCTGATGGTTTCCATGATTCTTATGGTGACACGTGGAAGTATTATACCAGGAAATCCAACAGGGTGCACCCGGAGCTGCCCAAGGCCACCTGTTGTCATAGCTATAAGATTACCTACAAGGTCCATTATGAATGTACTGAGTACAAAACCAGCTAAGACTCTTGTCCTCAGACTTCCCAGTTATGTTTTGCTGGGGCCTCCAAGTGGCTCTCGAGTGATTTTTTAGCTAGGCGGCTGTCTGAACTGAGGAGGAGAACCTCTCCTCCTTTCCATTTCTCTTTCTCCTTTCTTTTGTGTAATTTGAGCCGGCCTGACCCCTGCTGTAGCTTGGTGCCCCGGTCTCTGACAACCCAGAGAAAATTCTTGCTCTGGCTCAAGACCAACATCTCAGATCTGATGCTAAGGAACAATGACTGATTCTTTTGTTGTGTTTTGTTCCTTTCCTTCCCAGGATTGGCTGCTACACCAAATCATTCGATACTAGGTGCTTCATCTATGTCAAGTTCAAGGCGTCTCTGGTCATGGTGCCATTAACTTGGAAAGACGGGACCCACATTGTGCCCCATGTGCGACCATTTGCTGTGTATATACAGAAATATTATAGAAAAATTCTGCAGGAGATGGGTGGGATTAGCCACAGGGATGTGATGAAAACATTTGGTAGGAATTTCAAGGCGATAAAGCTTTTTTTTTTTTTTTTTTTTTTTTTGAATACGGGGTTTCACCATGTTCGTCAGGCTGGTCCTGAACTCCCAACCTTAGGTGATCTGCCCGCCTTGGCCTCCAAAGTGCTTGTATTACAGGCGTGAGCCACCGCGCCCGGCAGAGGGGTGGGGAGGTGGGAAGAGGTAGCATGGGGAGAGATGACAGATACAGGTGAGGGGACGGAAGGCAGCAAACCACACTGCCATGTGTGTACCTATGCAACAATCTTGCATGTTCTTCACATGTACCCAAAAACCTAAAATGCAATTAAAAAAAAAGAATTCTTAAGGTTATCTGAAGGTATATTCATGTGAGCTATATATGTTTTTGTTTTCTACAGTTGTCTGTCATCCTACCTACAGACAAGTGAGCTATATTTTTTATTGTTAAGTTTTAGAAAAGTTTGTTTTTGTCAAGTTAGGAATATTAGAATTTAGGTACTGTTAAGTAAGTAATATTAGAATTTAAGATTCATGTTATTAATGGTAATTGACCTTCACCAGCAGCTCTACTGCTAACCATTCTGTGCTCTTGACAGGGTAGATCTGAAGCCTTTGGGATCTACCTTGGGTCTTTTTTCAGCTCCATAGTTTTCACATGTAAGACAAAATGCAAAAGAAAAGTGAGTTTTCAGGAGTGGCAGGTGGAGAGAAAGGAGAATGCTGGAATGAGGACAAGTTTTAGTGGTGACACTTAAACACCAGAGCCACTGTGACATCTACATAGACAGAGGAAAGACACTTTGGCTCCATAGTTTTCACATGTAGGACAAAATGCACAAGAAAAATGAGGTTTTGAGAGTGGCAGGTTGAAAGAGGAGAATGCTTGAAAGAGGACAAATCTTAGAGGCAACACTTAAAACACCTGGGCTACTGTGACATCTATGTAGACAGGAAAGACAAACGTGTTTCATAAATGTTTCTGATGACGTTGATTGAAACTATCTGAGCCGTGTAATAAAAAAATAAAAGTTGTATGCATCTCACTTGTTAGCAAAGTCCGTTCATTGACTCCCTGCACCTAGAGCAGAACAGACCCTCTGGTCTTTTGTCCAAGACACTGGACATCTGAAGCCCTCCAGGACATGTCTAGAGGAGCGCAATGCACTCCCCGTTTCTCTGGCTTCTGTGACTGCCCACAAGAATTTAGCAGCCTCCCTACTTCTTAGAGCGATTCAGGGTGTGGACTGGGATCCACATTGTATTTGTTTTCTATGGGTGCTGCAACAAATTACAAGCATAGTGGCTTAAAACAATACACATTTACAGTTCTGGGGGTCAGATAGTCTATCACTGGTGTCACTGGACTAAAATCAGAGTGTCAGCAGGGCTGTGTACCTTCCTGAAGTCTGGGGGAGAATCTATTGCCTTGTATTTTCTTCCTTTTTTTTTTGAGACAAAGTGTTGCCCTGTCCCCCAGGCTGGAGTGTGGTGGTGCGATCTTGGCTCACTGCAACCTTCGTCTCCCGGGTTCAAGTGATTCTCCTGCCTCAGCCTCCTGAGTAACTGGTATTACAGGCACCTGCCCCCATGCCCACCTAATTTTTGTGGTTTTAGTATTGACTACTAGTCACCATGTTGGTCAGGGTGGTCTCAAACTCCTGACTTCAAGTGATCAACCCACCTCGGCTTCCCAGTGTTAGGATTACAGGCATGAGCCATCTCACCTGGCCTTTTCTTCCTTTTAGAGGCTGCTCACACTTCCTTGGTCAGCAGCTCCCTCTCACTCCCCTGCTGACTCTCTTTCTCACTTTTACTTTATATATGTATGTGTATATATATATGTGTGTGTGTGTGTGTGTGTGTGTGTGTGTATATATATATATATATATATACACACACACACATGTGTATATATTTTATGAGATGGAGTCTCTTGTCGCCCAGCGTCGAGTGCAGTGGTGTTATCTCAGTTCACTGCAACCTCCACCTCCTGGATTCAAGTGATTCTCCTGCCTCAGCCTCCCAAGTAGCTGGGATTACAGTCATGCACCACCGCACTTGGCTAATTTTTGTATTTTTAGTAGAGACAGGGTTTAGCCAGGCTGGTCTCTAAACTCCTGACCTAAGTGATCAACCTGCCTCGGCCTCCCAAAGTGCTGGGATTTCAGGTGTGAGCCACCGCTCCCAGCCCCTTTCACTTTTAAAGGATAGTTGTGATTCCTTTGGGCCCATCAAGGAGCCTCTTCAAGTCAGCTGATTGGTAACCTCATTTCCCTTTTGCCATCTAAGGTAACATAGTCACAAGCTCTGGGGATTAGTGTCTGGACGTCTTGGGGCACACTCGTTTTCAGCCGGCCACAAGCATCTTGACTATCCTGATACTTTTTCTAGGCAAGGTGCGTTCTGTCATTTCCCTTTCTTCATTTTCTAAAAGCTTGGAGTGTCTAGTGGCTACGAAGTGGGCTGGTGTGTTTATACGGTGGGACAAGCTTTCCCAGCTAACTCTTTAGATTCTTCCTCCCCATTCCTACCTGTAGCCATATCTGCAGTTTCAGCAGGGGCACAGCTGGCTTGTGAAACTGGATCCTAGCACATCAGTGACTTAAGTAAGGGGCACTGACAGTGCAGTAAACCCACCCCATCACCTGTTTTAACTGAGTAGTCCTGTCATCTGCCTTTCTGGGAAGCCCCAGTTTTTCCTCCCCTCACTTCAGTCTCATCGATAGCCCTGGAATAATGCTCTCCATCGCCCTCCTGCAGGTGGCTGTGTGCTAATGACTGTTGGCAAGTCATCCGGCCTTGCTTTTCTTCAAGCCCACAGCCATTTCCCTAGTAAGCGCTTGGTATCACTCATCTGAAAAATGAGTACGGCCTTCTAGCTGGTCTCCAATACGTCACCTGATGCCGAACTACCTTTCATTCTTACTTTCAGCCTTCCCACCTTTGCTACTACCCTCCCTTATGCCTGGAAATCCTACTTGCCCTTTAAGTCTTTAGAAGCCTTCCCAAATGGCTCCAACCGTCAGTGCCCTGAGCTCTGGGTTCACTGTGCCACTCATTTGCCCCATGGCCCAGGCTGCTGGGTTTCACTAGTTTCATGCATATCTTGCCTGCTGTCCTGAGCTGCTGGAGTGCAGAGCTCTCATGTTCATGACTAATGGCCCCTTCCCCAATTATGCCAGACAGCTATCTAACTGCTCCCTCTGCACCCATGTACTTGGGTGTTTCCTTGTGAGTAGAACAGGAGTGCCCACGAGGGCAGAGACAAGGGTGCAGACAGACATTGATGAAGGCAGGATGGGCTGGCACAGACCCAGGGCCAGGCAAGAAGAAGCAGGAAATGCTCCTGGAGCCCAGGTGGGGGCTGTAATGATGCACGAACACGCCCTGGTCCTGACGATCTTGTTTATTAAAAAGTTTTAAGCAGGATTTTAGATGTAAATATAAAAGAGCAAATCTAGAGGTCTTGGGGACCATGGCCACAGTCACTGCTGAGCTGGAGGCCTGGGCTGTGGCTTCATGGGGCAGCGCCCTCCATGTCGCGCCTTGTACTCCCTACACTTGGGGAAGGTGAAGTTTTAGTTTCTAAATGAGAAGGGCAGTGAGACTCCAGGCAGCCACGTTGGGCGGCAGGGTGGGGCTTGGCAGCTAACGAGCAGCAATGGTGCAGTCCTCAGAGCTGGGAGGGTGGCTTTCCGGGAGACCTGGTGGTGCTGGGGCTGCCAGTGAATCCCGGGAGTGAGGATATGGGGAGAGCCAGCACCTGCCGGCCCAGCAGAGAGGGAGGAAGGAGTCTGGAATTCGGGGAAGTCAGACTGTGTGGGTGAAAGGGGAGCCAGGATTCCGGCCTCACAAGCCCGAGTAGGAGGCCTCTGAGGTCTCAGACCAGGATGAATCCCGGCGGGAAGACGATGGCTGCCTCTGGAGCCCTCTCTGGTTGGGGCAGCCCAGGCGCAAGAGCAGCATCCACATTCGCTCCCGGAACTTGACCCCTACAAAGGCATAGAGCAGTGGGTTGAGGCAGCAGTGCATGTAGCCCAGGCCTGAAGTGACTGATTTGGCCACGTCTACCCGGCTTTCTCGGCCACAGTTGCGGGCCAAGGTGCCTAGGTCCATGAGGATGTCCACCAGCACCACCAGGTGATAGGGGGTCCAGCAGAGGGCAAAGGCCACCACGACCACCACCACCAGCCGCATGGCCCGCAGGCGACGCTGGCCCCTGGAGACCAGCAGCACGGCAAGGATGCGGGCGTAGCAGTAGGCCATGACCAGCAGGGGCAGCAGGAAACCAGCCACCAGCTGCAGCACCCGCAGAGCCGTGCGGCCCACCTGTGGGAAGGTGTACTGGCACTGGGTGGCTTTGAGGCGCTCGTCGTGGTGGGCTGACAGGAAGATGAAGTCTGGGAGGGCGAAGAGCAGGCAGAGCCCCCAGACTGCCAGGCAGGTGAAGGTCACGCGGGCCGGGGGCCCCCTGCGGTAGAGCTGGGTGGCGTGCACTATGTTCAGGTAGCGGTCAAAGCTGATGCAGGCTAGCAGGAGGGCCCCTGCATAGAAGTTGATGTTGAAGAGGGCACCTGCCACTTTGCAGAGGCCAGAGCCAAAGACCCACTGGATGGCAGCATCCACTGCCCAGAGCGGGAGCGTCAGCACCAGCAGCATGTCCGCCACGGCCAGGTGGAGCAGGAAGGTGTCGGTGCTGCTCAGGGCTGTCCGCTGGCTCAGCAGCACGGCTGCCACCGCGCCGTTGCCCAGGAGCCCCAGCAGAAAGAGCAGGCTGTAGAGGGCCGGCAGGAAGGCCCGGTCGAAGTTCAGGCTGAAGTCCTGCGGGCAGGGTGGGGAGGTGCAGCACAAGTCACTCTCGTTTTCTCCATAGTCATAGGAAGAGCTGAAGTTCAGGAGGGCGGCAACCTCAGCCTCACTTAGCACTTGGCGGTCACTCACCTGGGAGGAAGGGAACAGGGAGGAAGGGGCTGTGTAAAGACCTGGCAGGAACTCCTTTGTAATTGAGTCTGACTTCCTCTGTGATTTACTCTGAGCAGCTCCTCCCGAAGGCAGGCCCTGTAACTGTCCCCCGCCCGTCTTCCAGGGCCAGACCTCCTCAACTCCGTCCACTCAGCCTGGGCTCTGGGATGGTGACTCCCCTTCTCAAAGGCTGCTTCTCTCACTCTTCTGCGTGATCCCATCAGCCCAGGGACCCCTGGGCAGGAGGAAGAATGTCCCTAAGGTGCCCAGAGCCTTCTCTGCCTGCTGTCCTCGCTCTCCCTGCTCTCCCTTCACGGCTTGCCTTGCGTCCGCAGTGCCCCACCCTGCCACCTAGTTCAACCACCTTCCTCCCCAGTGCCTCTCCACAGTCCCCTTTTCCAGTTATTCACCCTCCTCTTCCCTCTTCGGTTTTTCTCTGGGGACCCCAACTTCCTGCCCCCCGCGTGGCCTCTCTATAAGTCACCACGCCCCCCAAATGCATGCAGTTGGCACCATCCTTCCCCTTCCCTACGTTGAGGATTGCACAGCCATTTAGTTGCCCATGAGGGGATCCCCTACTGAGCTCGAGAAGAATCTTCTTTACCCCCTCACCCCCAGCACTACAGACCTGCAGCCCTCCCCAGTGCCAATTCAATCCAGCATGCAAGAGTCAAAGTTCCAAATTGGCTGAACGGAGCCTTAGAGTCTACCAGCCCCCCACTCCCATTTTGCAGTGAGACACCAGAGCCAGAGAGGAGAGGAGAGACACCCAGGGTCAGTGGCCAAGCTGGGTTCCCAATTCCCCATCTAGTGCTGTTTCTACCACAACCCATGCAGCCTCCAGCTACTCACCCAACCCTGTGGTGACCCTGGGCTGTGGGACAGCCCCGGCATTCCCCCAGTGCCCAGGGTTCTCCACTTCGAGCTCTGTCCCGGCCTGGCTGGGCAGCAGCACTTACCTCAAAGACCATGGCTGGGATGGTGCTCTGGCTGCTGGGTCATGTGCTACGTGCCCCTCTGCTGTGGTTGGAAACCTGCAGTCACAGAGGAAGTGGGAGTTTCAGGCAGTTCTTAGTAGCAGCCTCTTCCAGAGAGTCACCTATACCAGACCTCCCTAAACCTTAGGCTGCAGAGTTTCTATGCCAGCTGTTTCTGTGGCTGGGTGAAGCCTCTCTGGAAGAGCTGGCCACAAGCTTGGGACCAGAAAAGCTGGGCAGAGGATGACCGATTGGGGGCAGATCCTTTGAGGAGAGAGGTCTGAAGAAGCAGCAATGCAGCTGGGAAGTGAAGGGCAGCTCTGCTGCCTGCCGTGGGAGGGTCAGTGCTCCATAGATTGGAACTCATTTGTCCTGTCCTGACCTTGAGTTGATCTTTGCATGATTGCAAAGGTTGGGTAGAGAAATAAGTCTGTAAAGGAGATTCACCTTCTTAAAAATTTCAGCCAGGAGCAGTGGCTCATTCCTGTAATCCCAGCTGCTGGGAGGCTGAGGCAGGAGGATCACTTTAGGCCAAGAGTTTGAGACCAACCTGGGCAACATAGTGAGGCTCCATCTCTACCAAAAATTTAAAAAGCCAGCCAGGCATGGGGGCATGTGCCTGTAAGTCCTAGCTACTTGGGAGTCTGAGGCAGGAGGATTGCTTGAGCTTGAACTCCTGGGAGTTCAAGGCTGCCTTGAGCTACAGTTGTACCACTGTACTCCAGCCTGGTGATAGAGTGAGACCCTGTCTCTTTCTTTTTTGTTTTGTTTTTGTTTTTGTTTTTTGAGAGGGAGTTTCACTCTCGTTGCCCAGGCTGGAGTGCAGTGGTGCTATCTCGAGTTGTTGCAATCTCTGCCTCCGGAGTTCAAGCAATTCTCCTGCCTCAGTCTCCTGAGTAGCTGGGATTACAGGCATGTGCCACCACGCCCAGCTAATTTTGTATTTTTAGTACAAATGGGGTTTCTCCATGTTGGTCAGGCTGGTCTCGAACTCCCAACCTCAGGTAATCTGCCCGCCTTTGCCTCCCAAAGTGGTGGGATTACAGGCATGAGCCACTGCCCCTGGCTGAGGCCCTGTCTCTAAAAAAACAATCAAATATTTTTTAAAAAGTCATCACACTAAATTTAGCTCTTTACCATCGCCCCTCCCTGCTAATTAACTGGGAAAAGGAAAGGGAACTACCAGTAATGAACTTGCTATGTGCTAGACATTGCTTTAGGTGCTTTCTCTGACACTGCCTTATTCCAACCACACAACTCACTTGTGAAGTGCGGGGTTATCTACATGGATGATTCAGAAAGGGGACAGGCCTTCACCAGACACAGCAAGTAAAGGTGGGCGTGAGGACTGATCCCATGGCTGTCTGATTCTCCTTTTCCTACTCATGACACTGTCTTCAGTTTCTTTTAAGTGAATAAGCTATGGTATATTCGTGTACTTAAAAACAAATGAACTAAAACTATACATTTTAACATGGATGCATCTAGAAAAGCTAACGATCACATTGCAGAAGAAGCAAGTTACAGAATGCCATCTGTAGTTTGAGGCCACTTACGTAAACTCTAAAAACCACCACAAAATCAATACCACGTTGTTTTGGATAACACTGTTTGTTCTCAAAGTTTAAAACAGGGATGGGGGAGATACCACAAATTCATAAAAGCAGTTGCTTCTCGGACAAGAAGGCAGATGAGGTTGGGGAGGAGGCCATAGAAACCTCTTGATTTTTTAAAAAATTGTACTTTAGGTTCTGGGGTACATGTGCAGATCATGCAGGATTGTTGCATAGATACATATATGGCAATGTGGTTTGCTGCCTCCATCCCCCTGTCACTTATATCTGGCATTTCTCCCCATGTTATCCCTCCTCAACCTCCCCACCCCCCGCTGTCCCTCTCTTGGCCCCTCCCAACAGAGCCCAGTGTGTGATGCTCCCCTCCCTGTGCCCATGTGTTCCCATTGTTCAACACCCACCTGTGAGGGAGAACATTTGGTATTTGGTTTTCTGTTCTTGTGTCAGTTTGCTGAGAATGATGGTTTCTAGATTCGTTCATTTCCCTGCAAAGAACATGAACTCATCCTTTTTTATGGCTGTGTAGTATTCCATGGCATATATGTGCCACATTTTCTTTGTCCAGTCGATCATTGCTGGGCATTTGCGTTGGTTCCGGGTGTTTGCTGTGGTGAACAGTGCTGCAAGGAACATTCGTGTTCATGTGTCTTTATAATAGAATGATTTATAATCCTTTGGGTATATACCCAGTAATGGGATTGCTGGGTCAAATGGTATTTCTATTTCTAGATCCTTGAGGAGTCGCCACACTGTCCTCCACAATGGTTGAACTAATTTACACTCCCACCAACAGTGTAAAAGTGTTCCTATTTCTCCACATCATCTCCAGTGTCTGTTGTCTCCAGATTTTTTAATGTTGGCCATTCTAACTGGCATGAGATGGTATCTCAATGTGGTTTTGATTTGCATTTCTCTGATGACCAGTGATGATGAGCATTTTTTTTTCATATGTTTGTTGGCCTTTTAAGGAACCTCTTGATTTTAAGGAAAAGCTGTAAGGTGGCCTTGGTATAACGCGTCAGTCACTGTATGGTGGAGAGTGGCGAACAGTTCCTCTCCTGCCTGCCCTTAGCTCTGCCCTTTGCCCTCTTCTCCCCTCCCTGTCACCCTCTTGTTATCACCGGGCAAGGCTGCCCCTAACTTGCTTTTCCCAAACAGTTTCCTCTTTCTCTCTCTCCCCTCTAATTGGAAAGCAGGGGTTGGCTGTGGGGAGAGAGAGGATACAGAGAGAGACAGAGGCAAGTGCTAGCCCATGGTCTTGGGACCAGTTTTCAGCCAGACTGCTCCACCAAAGCCTCCAGGCTAGGGCCTGGAATTCAGTTTACACCTACTCACATGATGCATACTTGCAAGGCGTCAAGGCCCTTCCCCTCCTGTGGACAGATGTGACTCTCCTTGCTCTAAAACAGCTTATCACCTGTAGGGTTCAGGCCAGACGGAACAGAGGGCCTGGCAGAGGTCAGGAGCAGTGCCAGTGAAGGGAACAGGAAGGGTTCCAGAAGCCAGGCCAGTTAGGATGAGCAGGACTTGGTGAGCAGCTACCTATGGGGGTGGAAAAGGGACGGGAGCTGGGACCACAGTTTCACATTGCTGGCCTGTGAAGAGGTTTGAGTTCCCTGCTCTTCTGCAAATGAGAAAATCGACCATAGAAAGCCACATCTGTAAAGGCCTGTCTTGTATTCAGCAATCATGTTATTCATCCCCTTTTGTTGGTATTAAAAACGCCTTTTCTTTATGAAATGATGGGGAAAATAGATGATAGTTTTGGAAATATCGGGTGATGGCAGTTGACAACCCAATGTGGGTCCCGTAAATCAGCAGTCCCCAACCTTTTTGGCACCAGGAACCGGTTTCATGGAAGACAATTTTTCCACTGACTGGAGTGGGGATGGTTTCAGGATGAAACTGTTCCACCTCAGATCATCAGGCATTAGTTACTAGTCTGCGGCTGGGGTGTTGGGGAGCCCTGCTCTAAATAGATGTTGAAATGTTACTGGTCCATGTGAAAGGTAAGAGTCCAGGACGGGTGCAGTGGCTCATGCCTGTAATCCCAGCACTTTGGGAGGCCGAGGCGGGCAGATCACCCGAGGTCAGGAGTTTGAGACCAGCCTGGTCAACATGGTGAAAACCTGTCTCTACTAAAAATACAAAAATTAGCCAGTTGTGATGTAGTCCCAGCTACGCAGAAGGCTGAGGGAGGAGAATCACTTGAACTCAGGAAGTGAAGGTTGTAGTGAGCCGAGATTGTGCTACTGCACTCCAGCCTGGGCGACAGAGTGAGACTCCATCTCCAAAAAAAAAAAAAAAGATAATCCTGGTGTCCTTCCTGATGTCCTTCCAGTTTGTCCCATGTCCTTCCCAGGTTGCTGGGAAGGACACATGAGAGAAAGGCAGAGCAAGTGCTTTGGAAAGGGGCAGAGAGCTTTCCTTTCTGAACTTGGACACTCTGATATCAGGGCCGTGTCCTGATAGCCCAAGCTGGGCTGTGGGGCTCAGTTGTTCTTGGTGACGCCATGAGGTTGTGAGAAGAATGCTAACCTTGTCTGAGTTCCAGCTCGGACTCCACCCTGTTCGAGCTGTGTGACGTTGGACTAAATACATAGCTGAGTTGAGCCAGTTTCCTCAGTGGCGTTGTTACAAGATGAACTGGAATAACCAAGGCTGTAGGCTTCCAGCACAGGGTCCAGAGCTTAGTAGGAGTGTAATTGAGAATGTTGCGAGAGATGTTGGCTATAAACTTGGAGCAACCAGGAACCTTTTGTATCAAGGGAGCCAGTGATAGAGGGTGGCACTTGTGGGGCATACAGGTGTGGACTTGGCTAGAGGGCTGGTTTTCCAGAGAGGCCACCCTCTGCCTTAGCTGGGGGTGGAGGAGGATGGTGGGTTTGCCAATCCTAGCCAGATCCTCTGGCTGCCCAGCTGTGTAATCCCAGGCAAATAATTCCATCTCTATACCTTGGTTTCCTCATCTGTAAAATGGGTCTAAGGATAGGATACATTTGATGGGATTGCTCTGGGACTGCAAACGATATGTGTAGAAAGTGTCTGGGGCAGGGTAGGTGCCCCTTGCTCAGCAGTGTCTTTCCACTCTAGGAACTTTCCAAACCAACCCCTCCCGACCTCCCAAACGTAAGTCGTGCACAGCTAAGATGCCTTGGAAGGTTCCTGGTCACGGGCCCGAGCCAAACCCTTGACCAGCTGTCTAATTTGGTTCTTTCTGGTCCTAAACAGCTCCTAGACCAGGACAGAACCAGGCCCAGCTTTGGGGAGAGCCGCCTGGCCAAGGGCCTGCAATCAGAGTTCTGGCTGGTGAGCCTCCTGCCTCCGCCCTCCAGAGCAGCTGGTGGGGAAGCCTGTGGAGGAAGTTAGTCAGAGTGAAGCTGCTCCGGGCCCCACCTGTGGTCAAGGTGTGAAATGTGCACCTGGCTCTTCTTTGCCACCCCTCCCCCTGTTTTTTTTTCTTTTTTTCACACCTC